AACTGTTCATTGGTTGATGTAAATCTCCTCTAACCTTCTCCCCTCTCCCTCTGCCCATAACTGTGTACAACAATGACTTCAATTGCATCTGAAAGCCAAACGCCAGTCTTCAACAGGTTAAACTGATGAAAACTGTTCGGTTAGTATATTGTCGGTTAATAGTAATTAAAATTAATGTCGTCAACAGCTATGGGCAGTCGAAAATGGATGTTTACATAAATTTTAATGTTTATGATAGTAACTCTTACAAAGGAACGCCGTTCTTTCTTCGAAACCTTCGTGTTCAATACATATTCCATTTTAGGACATACCATCGTTCACTGTCATATTCGTAATTACTGTCGTGATTGAGTTTCAGAATCAAATGCTTTCATAAACTGTCTGTGTATCATGGTTATCAACGATCGGTACCCTGTGATTCGAACATCACAAAAACTGCACATTGCATTCGCATGCAGAGTAAACCTTTGAAAGACTGCTGATGAATAACTGTGCGTCAGAAAAACAAATTAATGCAATATCACAGTTACAACATTATCGATCTGATTGTTGATTCCGTACGTGATTGTTGTTGCTTTCCGTTTTCATGTCACCAACGTTTGAACGACGAAGCGACGGAGGACGCAGCAAGTACAGGACTATTGCAAGCGCTAGCCATAACATGATGACGATCATGGTGACATTTTTGGCTTCGCCACTAGTTGAAGGTAGGTCAACTAAACAACGACACCACAGGCTTTATAACTACGACCAGTAAACTTTACATATTGATCAGTGGATCGCATGTCTTACCTCCATTACTACACTCCGTATCAGTACAGTAGTTTTGCGACTGTCGAAGCTACAACGCATTTTTGATTGCAAAATAAGAAGAAAATACTGGTGTACATACCAGTATCAGTAAACGACGAATCGCGGCCTCTCGACTGCAAATACACTGACACATGTCAAAGCTTCCACTGTCAGCCATTTCAATAAATCACAGCCACAAATAACTTTTGATGGTTCAATCAGCTGTAACTGTAAAACAGCATATGATTGCCGCCGCCTCTGACAGTATGCAAACCTGAGGCACCGTTCTCTGATGGTCCTACCCATCTTGTTACGTAGATGGAACATAATATGGAAACGCTACGGGAGTACAACTCTCATTATGACTCCAGTTGATGTCTGTAATTCCAGGCATTCATTAAGAAACAAGAATCTAATTGATGGAAATTATTTAAAAGTCTTGATACCGAAACGCAAGAAAAATTGCAAATCTTTTCTGCGATTAAATTCTTTTTAAACATGCGTTTGCACTTTGCGCTGAATTGCAGTCGAACATGAGGTAAATCAATGCGATTAGTAATCGGAAGGCAAACGTACCAATTATGATTCTGTTCATAATTTTTGCAGGTCAACTACCTGCTGCCCATTTCCGACTGGTTACGCAGAAAGACCGTGAGGTGAATTTTCTGCTCAACGGAACTATAATATGAATAAATTTACGCAGAGTGGCAGGTTGAAATTCGATATGTTTAAAGTCGTAAACGACTAGCTTATTGTTCCACATCCTCTATCAAATCAGTGAAATTAAACGAATCTAATACTGGAAACCGTAATGTGACATGAAAAAATACAATATAGCTATGTTTGCGATTTACAACCGTGCATTGTAATTGTCGTAGCAGATAGCAGTGAATGATAACTTACTGATATTCCTTGATCCGCCCACTCATATACAGCGGGATTTATTAACTGGAATCAGTTTGCCCAACGGGATATGTGTCATTGTCATTTAGGCACTGTGTCAGGGTCTTCAGTACTACGTCTAATACATTTGCAGGAAGGCACACCGAATAATAGTATTTTTAACGTATTTCACTGTTTCCGCGAAAGCAGTACTTCTAACTGACTAGAGGTCTATCGAAAGCGTATCTATTCACAGTCAACGCTTATCTCTTAAAATCAACGATATCGTTATCAATCCTCATAAGTATAGAAATGAACGTTCACTCATCGCATTAGCGGGCTTGTTACCT